ATTGGGGAAAGGGGGGGGGGGTAATTAGGCCTGTATAGCAAAATCTTAAGTATGAAGTATATATCACGTTCTGATACTTACACTGAATTATTTGTAATACCAGCTTTATATCTAGATAAATTACCTCTATTTAAGAATACCATAACTAAATTTTCAATATGCTTCTTTATGACTGCAAAATTTAACATAAGGTATACTCGAATCCTAAATAATTTTGATTCTTATCCTTAATCATGTTGCCTTAATAATTACTGCATGTTGGGTGCAATGATTGTGATTGTGACCGCCAGATTAAGAGCCGCAAGTTGGTAAGGATAGGCCAAACGCTCCAAAGGGGTCCCGACTATATACCCCAGCAGGTCTTGGACTGGAATCCCTAAGGGAAAAGAAAGCGGGGCCTCGGCAAACCTGGCGTCGCACCGTACTGGCAGAAGCGACGAGCATCGGTATGACGTGGAATGAGGTGAAGCGTGAAGCTCAAGACAGATCGCGATGAAGAACTTTAGTGGACGCCCTCTGCCCCATCTAGGGGACACAGAATATTAAGTCAAGTGGTGCAATGACAACCGACTGCTACATTACGTGTTCCTGTGTCGATTCCAGCACCTAACAAATCTTTATTGTCCCGCAGTTTGATGTCATGTATATGTATGTGTGTATGTATCAACACAAACGAGGCAAAAGTATAAGTATTTTAGAGAAAATATTGTAGCTCAATTGCGACTGCAAACTCTAAACTTGCTTTGATAGCAAAGTTCTTAGCAAAGCCGTCCATCGAATCAAAACAAGATTATAAAAGTTTTTCTAGAAATTTCTTTTCCAAGTAGGCTTCCCTCGAATATAAACGTAATTACTTTTAGTTATACCAGTGCCATATTTTGTTAGAATAATATTACAGACAGGCAGACATCCATAATTATGTATTAGTATGATAAGATTTTCAGCAGATTACAATTAGCTTGTAGTCGTAGATGGATGTTTATGAAGTTTTTCGTCTAGACAAATATTATTATTGCTAGTTTTGTTATGTTCGTTGTGTTTCACTTATTTCGGCACGTGTGCCATACGTGTATTGGGTCGTTTTACAAGAATTATTTCATAAACTACGTTTAAAAAACCGACTTCAAACCCCTTCTTTGTTGAAGTTGGTTAATTAATATATTAAAATCTTCTTCTTCAAAATCGATTTGACCAAATGCGAGATAATCACAAACAAACAACATACACACACACATACATGTTTTTGATCAGTAAGAGTTTGTTCCCTTTGTCTTCTTCAGGCGAAAATGCTCTAGATGAGGATTTTCCATCTTTGAAATAATAAATAGACAATAGGAATGTAACTGAGATAATGTAAAAAAATTTGAGTCTAATGTATACCACTGCTTACTCCTTCAGGATATAGAGTGTGTGTGAAAACGTCTTAATATAATAAAAATGATAACATTTATCCTTAATTTGAATTTGCATAATTAATATCAATAATTTATTAGCCTCGAAGAATTTCCTTAATGTATTATACGAGTACCAGGATTACAGAAACGTGTAGGATGTATCGATCACGGCTTAGCATTAAGGACGATGTGTTTCGTCTCCTTTGTATAATGATATTTTACAACACGGTGCTCATTTTACTCATTTTGAATTTGTATAAAATTGAGTCTACTGCCTTTTTTTGTGAAATAATAC